AAAAAAAAAAAAAAAAAAAAAAGTGGCACGTATGCTCCTAAAATTCCAAAAAAAAAATGCAGCAAAGTTGGTACTGAAAATATAAATGAGAAAAGAAAAAAGTGAGTAGAAAACAAAATGTGGGAATATTTAAAATAGGAATGAAAAAAAGGCAACGATTGGGCGAATGTGAATGTGAATGTTGGGGTTGAGGTTGAGGTTGAGGTTAAGGGAGTGAAATTGTAAATTAAGATTTAAGAGAATGAGCGGATCCAGAGGGAAAAGGGTAAAGTTGTAAAGTAAGGGATAAAAAAAGAAATTAGGAGTAAATGAATTAATATTTAATTTATAATAAGAAATGAAAAATGAAAATAATAGAGGAAAGACCTGTTGGTGGAGGTGGAGTTGAGGGTGAGGAGGCAGCGTGGGGCGGACAGAGGGAGCAAGAGTAGGACTATGCATTTGCCCAAACGCTGAAAACAAACCCCGCATATCCTGTCACTCACATCACAAATTCACAATTCACATGCATAACATCAATAACTAAACATCATCCTCATCATCAATATTTAATAACAATAATACGTACTGTCGAAGAGGCTGATGAGGATGTCGAATTCAGGTCCTCTTGCTGTTGCTGTCTTACAAAACCGCTTTGCTCCAAATTCAACCCCAGAGGTCTGAAACCCAATTGCAACACTCCCACATCGCTCACTACGTTTCTGCCCACATAACCCACCGGAGCTTCCGGCACTGCTAAGATCTGTTCCAAGAAATCGTCGCCCAACCCCTCCGAGCTGTTACCCGCCATGTCACAACCAAACAGAGACTCAATGGGACTGCACGATTCCTACCGCTTTATATTTGCCACTGTAAGCTTTTCAGCTTTTCCAATTTCTCACTTCTCATTACGCATGGACAACACACCCTTCTGCCTTTTATTAATAACACTAACCATACCATTTACTTTTTTCATTACCACTTTTCTGTTTCAATTATTAATTTTAAATATAACTTTTTAAAAAATGTATTCTTACACTCACTTATCATCGTTTATTTATTATACTCATTTTCTAACCACACTTGTGATTTGGCCTGTCACCAAATACCCTAATCACTATTTCAAGATTTCAAACTTCAATAAGATAACATCAACTATTTCACACAACAAACTATCCCTTAATCTAAATAATTACCGACTAACTCAAATAGCTTCATAAACTAAATACCTATAATTTTTTAATAAAGATAAGAAAGATTACAAAGATAATCGCAATAAGAATTCATAATTTATTACAACACAAACATTTATATAAAAATTAATAAATTTATTTTAAATTTAAATATATTTTTAGTCTCTATAAAATAAATAAAATTATTTTGATTTTGATTCTTGTAAAAAAAATTCTTTATTTCTCATCATTTAAAACTTACAACAATTATTTTTAATTCTTGTTATAATGTAAATAATTTTAACTATATTTGTTTATTAAAAGATTATGTGATCATCTTACATGTTTCTCACAACTATTAGTTATACTATATTAGCATGTGACACCTTTAAATTATTTTTTAAGTCTCAAATAATATTATTTATCTACATTAAAATCATCAATAAAGACTTAATAATAGTGATTTTAAAATTTAGAGAGATGAAAATTAAAAGAAAATATTTTATAAGGACCAAAACATAATCACAAATTTTAGAAAGACGAAAAATTAACTTTTTTTATTACAAAAACTAAAATCAAAATTCACTCATTTTACATAAATTAAAAATATATTTAAGTCTTTATTTTGTTTATTAACAAAATAAATATTATTATTGTTTGCCTTAGCATAAGATATGCTATAAAAAAATGATACAAACCACAAAGCAGTAAGAACAAGAAGAAATCAAAGCAATAAGTTTGATCCTTATTGAATTAGATTAGTCTAAAGATTAAATACATATCATATTATATATAATTATATAAATACAAATCATATGATTATATGGATTAGATAATAATATTTTAAAAAAAAATAGATTGTTGAAATATTCTAATTAAATTTCATACATGTATTTTTTTTATTTCATTTTATCATATATTAACTTTTTTAGTATTTTCTCTTTTTTCTATTATTTTGTAAATTATAATTTTCACGTGCCAAAATAAAATGTACCAAAAAGTTATAAGAATTTTTGTAGGATTTTATTAGATAAATAAAATTTCTCTTTTTATTAAAGATTGAAGAAAGGAAGATAGACTTGGGATAAAAAATTATATACGATAAGAGACAAACCTACTCAGAAAACGTGGACGTAAGAAGACAGATAAGCACAGAGGCAACAAAGAAAGAGGGAGAGACGGTAATCGTGCTTTGTTACGTGCACGCACGCGTGTACTCTTTTTTTCTTCAGTCAATATAGATTTTGAACCGAACTCGCTATGTTGTTAACATCATTTTAAAACTACAGCTGTGTTTATACATCTCACACGGAAATTAATCATCGTTCATGAAGAATTATGTAAAAATTAAAAGATATAAAATGAAAGTGGAGTACAACGCATCACACTTTTAAAAGAAACTAGTCTGATTCGTCGATCTTAACCTCCATGCCATTTAAGCACAGATTATTTAATGAATTTTCAAGGCCATCAGTTACATTTACATTGCATGGAATTGATCACTAATTATTACAGTATTATACCAAGTTACCAACACATTTACTACTTTCTTTCAGACATCATATACAGTATTTTCTTAATTTACCGGATATATATATATATATATATATATATATATATGGCTTCGTTTAAAAATAAGAGTAATAGAACATTAGGTGATAAATCCTCCTGCCCACCTCAGACGAGATCACAAGTTCCAACTCACTCCAAGCAATTTTCATAACCTTCAAGCTCTCGCAAAACAGGAGTTTATCTTATGTAACGTCATTAGCAAAATATATGAAAATAGTCGGCAGTTTCAATGACAACAAAAAGAAAAGGGTAATAGTTTCACGTACAGACCAAATCCGATCATCAGGAGATTTTTACTGGGAAAAATATCGAGAGAAGATACGAGGTGCACTGATTGAATCCAGTATCATGTGCTCCATAAATTGATTTACAAGGTATTCCAGAAGAATGGGCTTTACTTGTAAAGAACACAGAAATTACTGTTTTTAGAGATTAATTCATGAGATGAGATTAGTCTATTTAATTACTGCTCCCCATTAGATGGATCCACACCACCACGAATCCGCTTCTGAAGATGCTCCAAGCTAGCCACCCGCTGAAGGGAAGCTGTTTGACCCATCTTGTTCCCACCTACCACTGCTGCAGCGTTCTGCTGCACATTTTCAATTGTAGAAATGCCCCCTAACCCATTGTTCACTCTCAGATCATGACTGGGAATAGGGTTACTAGATGTTGGTTGATAGAAGTGATGATGTGGGTCATCTTGCACAGGAACAGCTGCATCAGCTGAAGTGTCCGAAGGGCTTCGTCCATCAAATGATGGCATGCCCATTGATGATATCTCAGACATTGCATGAAGCATTGGGTTCAACCCAGTAATTCTTTTGACGGTTTCTTCAGCCATTTTCACCTAAAAATGAGAATAACAAGGTAGGAAATTACAAACATGTCAGATCCTTGTCAATACAGATGAAGCAACAGCTTTTAATAATGCCCTGATTGGACACCATTCTTCAGTTTGTCAGCCAAACTTAGAAAGAGCAAGTAGGTTTGACAAATAATAGGTTTTAGTTAAATCAAGTATAAACTAGGACTTTACCTTTGCTCTTAATGTTTCAACATCAGCTTTTAATACTCTGTTGTCAACAGCAGAGTCATTGTATTTCTGACTAACATCAGTAAGGCGCTTTAACAGAGAAGAATTTTCACCTCTTAATTGTGAAACCTATGATAGAATAAAATGTCAGAAAGCATCAACAATTCTATGGGAGGACTAGCCGTCTAACACAGAAGAGGGGGCAGAAACAAGTCAGGTCTATAAAATAAGCTATACACACCTGTGTTTCCAGATCAGTTAAATGGGCTTGCTTTCTTCTTCTTGAGCGCCGGGCTGACTCCCGATTGGATAGCATCCTGAGATATAAATATTAATAGGCATTGAATTAACCGATGCAGAATTTGTCTCCTAGACGCACAAATTAGTATTTTATTATAACAGTGTAAATTTGGAATCCTATCTGAAAAAAAAAATACTAGGTCAAATAAACTTGCCACCAATATAAAATGAGTTAATCATCTATACACTGTCAGTGTAAAGTTTTTTTACACAGACAACCAATTATATCTTTTAATTGTGTCATGTCACTGTTAAAAATAAATGTGTTTACAGTGACATGGCACAATTAAAAAATATAATTGGTTGCCAGTGTAAAAAAACTTTACTCTGGCAATATATAGGTCTCATAAAATTTGTTCAACTTACAGAACAAATTAGGAGGTTCATAATCCCTTTAAGAACAATGTAACAACTTCAAAAGGGTTCTGACATGTACACAACTATGTTAGAATGTTTGACAGGAAAAAGGTTCTAGCAAAGGCTCAGAGTGAAGATAATAGATGTAACCACATCAACAGGTTGTGCACAATTTGTGGGGAAAAAACTAAAGTAAGCAGCATTACTCTCACTTTAAAGATCTAATGTGATACTGGATGCAATTTTTCTGGCATCCCAATCACTAAGTGTGTGTTTGCTAGTGTATTATCTACATGCCTTTAGTTTGATGTTCACGACGTCAATATTGTAATGAAAGAAAATACAGAAGCTATAGTGTTGCTTCCAAGTTACACACGTCAGACCTTGCAAGATGCATATCCAAAGACACTATGTTGACTTAGCAGAAGCTGGCAAATCCTACCAAGTAAAACAAGCTTCTATTCTAAATCACTGAATGCAATTACATGATATAACATGTAACTCCCGAGTATACAAGAAGCACCAGCATTCTCTATAACAAAGTCGGGCAATTTTGAGAATATTGTTACCTCCTGACTCGTTTTGCATCAGCAGGGTCCATGTTATCATTCATGGATGTCTCTCCCTCAATATCCTCGTCATCAGATTGTTCTCTTGATGATCCACTTGTTGATGGCCTAACAGCAACAGCAGGTTTCTTTTGAATGGTAGGTACAGAAGGAATCCCAGCTGGTACTTTGGTATCTTTATCTTGTAACTCAGGTGGATCATTTACAGAAGAAATAGATGCTACAGAGACAGATATATTTGAAATAATTCAATATTTGTTATCCATATAAAGAGATATAGAAAAATCAACTTAAAAGCTGCTAAAAAAAATGACTAAACATATCGGTGAAAGAGGGAAATAGTTTTCTGATCAAAATAAAATGGTAGACATAGATTATGCGTTCACCCCTACTCATGCAACTGCTAATAGTTACTAATTTATTTTACATTCAGCTTTCAGTCGACTGTACTTTACTCAGAGTCTGTATTGACATTTAACTTTTCTAATACACGTATGCATAAATATTTACCAATTCAAACCTTTAGAAGTAGTCTGAGATCCAACTTGAGAAGGATTAGATGAATGTAATCCACCGTTGGGAAGAGTGGATGAATCTTGAGCTGTGGCCAGAGATCCCTATTGCAATGCATAGGGGAAAAAATTAGATACTGGCTCAATTCTCTGAGGGAAAGAACGGAAAATAACATATATATAATTATAAATCCTTTTATGGAAACCATTGAAGACCTTTTATTTGGACACTTCAGCCTAAATTCTGTATAGCTATTTGTTGAAAGAAAACTGTCAATTTTCAACTGAATTTCATAAGGTTGATTAATACTGGCTAGTGCCCAACGAAGTACAGAAACAGGTAATATATCAAGGGAGATTTCAAAGTAATTAATATTCCTCAAGCTTTGGTTTTTAATCGAGTATAGTAGACCTCACCTGATGAGATAAGACTTTAGTTGTTGTATGTAAATACTACTCTGAATTACATAATAGTTGCACATGAATATGCTATTTATTCCAACATTCTCTCACCCCAAAGGCTAGACATGTCGAGTGTACAGCTCAGTAACGGGTGACCCTATAAACCCAATCCCCTAAGCTAGCTCAAGTGTTGAGAGGTGTCCCTCACTTACATGCTTCCACAGACAATTCATTTTTTTTTTTTCACAGCATGCATATCCTCAGCCAATAGGCAGAGACTAATTCATTTGAAGGCGTAGATATCACCAAAGTGTGTTTTCCTCTCTTAACAAAGTCTTCTCTATTCACATGACCAGGAGTCGAACTCCTGACAATATGCCTAAAAAACTCAGCTATGTTATTTTATCTATATTAATTAAGGTCGAAAGCCCAGAAACGAAAAACGAGGTCCCAGAAAAAGGCGCATGCAATAATTCTACTTGTTTTCCCTGTAACGAAGGATCCGTTTTAATCTCAACTCCAACGATATAAACAGTCAAATGTTCCTAGCGAGAGAACTATAATGCGAATAAATAAATAAATAAAAATGCAGGAAGCACAGAACAAGAAAAGTGAAGACGCTAAACAGATCGAAAAGCGAAGGAATGGAATCGCTTAGAGAGGAAGAAGAAGAGGATTACCCTAGTCATGGCGACGGCGGCGCATGCGAGATTGAGCTTGCTCTTGAGAAAGGCCTGATAGTCCTGGGAGTCAAGGGGGAGGGGAGCAGAGGCATTGGGCAAAGGGGTGGCGTTGTTGGGAGGGGGTTTGGGTTGGTCGTCGATCTCGACGAAGACGACGTCGGAGGAGGAAGAGGGCGGAGAGGAGGCGGAAGCAGTGGCCTCCTGGATGAAGCGCTGGAAGGCCCACTCGGAAGCGCTGCGGGTCATCTTGGAGGAGTCTTGGGCGGAGGAGACGGGGATCGGCGGCGGCCAGAAGTGATCGGAGATTTCGTCCACTGAGAAGACCCTATCCATATCGTACGTCTCCTTTCCTCTGATTCTGTGTGATGCGATGGGGGCAAGGCAACTAGCCAGCTACAATAAACGCCAGCCCCAGGGCATATGGGTCAAATTTCCACACCACATTCAATATTCTTTTTTTTTTTCACCACCAACCAATTGGTTTCTTGCCCTATCAAACATATTTATAAATTATAACTACTACATCTATTTAATTCATTTTTATTTTCTCCTTTTCTCTCATTTTATTCTTACATTTATCCTTCACATTTTCTCACCTCCCTTTTCACTTTTCACTCTGCTACGATATTTAGATTTGCCCACTTCGACATTGCAGAGACCATCCAAATGCCAGACCACGATTTCAACAATTAGATTGTAGAACAACCTCAACATGATTCGGTACCCTCCCATAGGATAAAATTGCAAAATAACCATATTATATTAATTTTGTATATTTCGTGATTTTAGTTATTAATTCACTATTATGATTATAATTCTTTGTTTATTTGTTTGCTTCATTTCAAATTAAATAACATGTATAATGATAATATATGTAAAACTTTGAAAGACGTGAGTATGACCAATTTGTAATTAATCATCACGTACAAAAGATCAACTAAAAAAGACTTGAGTAGGACTAGTTTGCAACCGATTACTACGTGAAAAAAAAATGACCGAGAAACATGTGACTAGGATTGGCTTGCAATTGGCTACCCTGCATAAAAAAACAACTCAGAAAAATGTGAGTAAGACTAGCTTGCAACCAATCACCACACAAAAAATCAACTCGAAAAGACATAAGTAAGAGTGACTTACAACTGACTACCACGCACAAAAAATCGATGGGAAAGATGTGAGTAGGATCGGCTTGTAATCAGCCACCATACACAAAAAAAAACTCAAAAAGGCATGAGTAGGACTGACTTGCAACTGACCAGCCCACACAAAAAATTGACTCGAAAACACGTGAGTGGAATCGACAAGCACAACATAACTTGAATCAATCGTTCATTTACAGATGCGAAAGATTGAAGAGTGTGACTTTTAACAAAATAAATTTATGGAGACATCGAATACATGACTCGTTCGGCAAATAGTTAGTGAAAATTTTTACACGATACAAGTTGAATCTATTGTACAATAATCAGTTATAAACTCACATCCAACTCGGCAATAAATAAACTTAGCACTACAGTGAAAGATTGAAATGCATAAAAGGTAAGAGACCTTTGTTGTAAGAAAGGATAGTACAAGGTCCAGGTTTAAGGTCCTCGCAAGACACAAGGTCTACTATATCTTTACTATTTAACCTTTACACCTTTCATACTCAAGACTAGTAGACAAGTGTAGCCTCCTGATCTTTTGCTGATAAGGTCTGACCAAGTGCCTAGTTAAGTACCTCATCATTCACACCCCTTTTTGTAACACAAGTTGACATTTATTTGATTCAAAACATATATTTGACACAAAATCTAGTCATTAATAATTATGATTGAGCAACATAATATAAAACTAATAATGAATAATTTTTTACAAAATCATGAGATTTTCGCGGCCCATAAAAATATAACAATTAGTTATAAAATCTTCATTTTAAGATAAAGAAAAACAAAATACAATTTTAAATACTTTGACTTTCAACAAATGATTAGATTACTTCTACTGCATTTCTCATACCACAACATATTCATTTCTTCATTATCCTTAAAAAGAGGACATCTTTACATATTGCTTGGCTAACTCATAGTTCTTGGTGTTGAGGCCTAATGAGAAACCTTTGAGAGAGTTAGCATGATCAACAATGGAGCTAGTGCAAAGAAGCATGTTGTAGAAACACAATTGGCCAACATCAAACTTACAGACCTTGAAACTGACATGGTCGACAAGGTTGGAGGTGGAGAGCACATTTGAGAGCTCAAAGTGGGATTGTGGGAAAGGTGGGGTGGATGGAAGAGTGACATTAGAGGGAAGGATAATTCCATAGTAAGAAAAAGACAAAAATCTAAATGTTAATTTAAAAATAATATATCTGATTGGTGTATAATTGTTTTCCCATAATGGGAGACATATTAATTCCAACCCTAACCTATGTCCCATTACATAAGTCATCATGAAAAAAAAAAGTTTATATTAAAATAATATTTATTAAATAATATAATATTATTAAATATTTAATATTTTATTAATTAAATTAACTGAATATTTACTTTAAATAAATCTATAATTATTCTTATTTACATAAACATATAATGTTATACATCATTATAATAATGTTGATGATAATAGTGCGTAGTGGTGGTGAGATAGCGATGATAATATTAGTATTAGAGGTAACAATATAAGTAATAATGTTAATGGTGATGATAACATTGACAATGATAATGATGGAGTCATGATACTCTTAATAATGATGACAATAATGATAATGTCAACAATAATAATGATAATGATAGTGATAATGTTAAAAGTTTTATTGGTAGTTACAATGAGAATGTTATTAGTGATAATGTTGACAATGATAATAATAATGTCAATGTAAATAATAGTAGTGATGATAATGATAGTGATGATAGTGTTAATATTAATGACGACGATATCAGAAATAGTGTTGATGTTAATAATGACAACAAAATAGTAATTTTCAAATATAATAGTTTGTTTTTAAAAATTAAAACCAAATTTGCAAATGTTTTTTCTTAATTTAAAAAAAATGTTAAAGTATTTTGAAATTGAGTTAAAAACCATTTAAGCTCCATTTTTGTCAAACTCATTTTGTTTTAAAAAATCAAAACCAAAAATTCGCAACCACTCGAAATGGACTTGGTTTCTAGCATGCAAATAATAAAGTAAATAGAGTTGAACTCTCTCTCTATATGATGTTAAGATTAATAGATCATGACTATAAATTTGATCGAGCTAATCCTATTTTATAGGTAACATTTAACCATATTTATATCAAGTGCAAATTAAATCATATGATACTATCAAGATTTTAAGGAAAACAGAAGTTAAAATAAATTTATCTTATAAATATTTATCCTTGTAATGATTTATGACTTCATCCTTGTAATATAATTGACGTGATGTATTTTGTTAGAACATTATGTTGTGTTAGTAGGGATGAAATGGAGAGAAAATGGGGAAGAAAAGAGAAAAAAAATGGAAATAGGAAATGAAATGTGTTTAGTAGAAAAAAATAGGTGGCGAGGAAAAAATTATAAATCTGACACCTATGTATTTCACCACAAAAATGATCATAAATAAACTGTAGACGCATCACTTTTTAACATTTTGTGGTGACTTTACAAAAATGATCATAAATAAACTGTAGACGCATCACTTTTAACATTTTGTGATGACTTTTAACTAGTTAAAGATTGTCAAAAAGAAAAATAGCATTTAGTTGTGATTTTGGATATTTTCTAGTAGTATAAAATTGTCAAAAATGCGATATTTGATTTTCACAAAATAACAATTGCTTTTATCATATAAAATTCCATTAACAATGGTTTTTTTCGTCTATTTCCCTTTTCTTATTTTAAATCAAACATTTCTATTTTTTACTCTATTTCCATTTATTTTCCGGGCTCTTCGGATATAATCCAATAAAAAAAAAACACAAGCTGGTTCAAAAAATAAAAAATAATAATAAAAAGCTAATAACAATTTATGAATTAAATTTTTATATTTTTAAAATTATCAATAATTAAAAAATCATGTCACAATATAAATAATTTATCTTAATTATAAAGTATAATTTATATATACATATGTATATATATATATATATAACAATATTATATTTGCATTTATAAATTATATTTAAATTCTGTATAAATATATATATATATATATTTATACAGAATTTAAATATAATTTATAAATGCAAATATAATATTTTTTGTATATATAGTATATTATAAATTTTAGTTGTATATAATATATATGTTAATCCATGAAATTTACAAGTTAAAATACTAGTTATAAATTATTAATGTACTTACGCGAATCAGGTCGTCTTCCTAACTCGAATAAGTCATCTCTTCTGTTGAGCCTGGCTAAGAGTGTACGAGGTTGATTGGTGGAACGAATTCCTTCTCTTCGGTCTCCTTGCTCGGGCGTCTCGGATGTACTTGCAAAAAGGACTTCGACGATCAAGTTAGTCTTTTTTCCTCGTTCATTATCATACTTATCCTTTACCTGAGTGGAGCGGTTTTCTGATGTAACTGCTGTAGCGATTATCCAAGATGAGTTAACTATGGTTAACTCGGTCATTATTATCACGTGTTATATATTCGACGTTCTTTATATACCTTGGTATTGGTACTACTGACTTCACGGTCTCAGTCAGCTAATGTTTAGTCAACATTCTTATGTTATAATCTTGGCGTGACCTCGGTTTCACATCGGGGATGGGATATGGATCTCGGTGTGACCTCGGTCCTCGTCCAGGGTGGTACATAAGCCCCCAAGCTCTGAGCGATGTAAGAGCGAAAGAGTTTGAATACAAAGTAAGATGGCCGAGGTCCCGTGGTGAGGTGTCACAGCCCAGAAGAAAATCAGAAGTGACATGAGGGGTCACAGTGCTTGAGTGGTGACAGCTGTGCAGTGAGGAGTTATGTCGTTTCATGATACACGTGGTAGAAGTGACGGGGTGCCATTAATTGGGCGGCGAATGCGAAACGATGGTCGCATGGGGAAGTGTGAAAAGTAAAGGGAACGCTTGAAACATGGAGGGATGCGAAAATAAGAATTTAAATGGGCGTACGCCTCCTACTGGAATATCATTTGTGCAAAGAGACGCGAGAGAGGAAGTGCTACAGTGCCAGCGTTATTCACTTATTTTGGGCGTTTCCAGGTATGTACTGATTCTTTTGTGTTTGAAATTGCATTTGCGGTCCGTGCGTAGCTTATAGGTGTGGGTTGATAAACAAGGGTAGGATGAAAAGTGGCAAAGGGAAGAGTAAAATGGCAGAGACGGAGGAGACGAAAATGTGAAAGAGATGAGGGAACAATCGGAAGGACTCACATCCTAAAATAGCAGCATCTGGGTACGAGTGGGTGAGGGGTGATGTAGGGAAGTATAGCAGCAAATTTGTGGATTTAATGGGGGTGAGCGTGCTGGAGCATCATCTGAGGTTTTGTGTA